TAGAAGGTACTTAATTTTCAGTATTTGCATAATAACACTGAACAGGATCAATAATATGCATAATTAGTGCCACCCATCAGCACTATGCCAATTTAAAGCCTTATTCTTTAACATTTCAGAAATAACTTTGAACGCAAATTAAATGACATATATAAAGTATTCCAACAAGTCAGTATGCAATGACTTCTGCACAACAAAATACCTGCCAAGGCCAATACCTACCAGAACATCCGATTTTTACTGACTTAAGACCTTGCTAAATCTCTGCAAACATTAATGCTAAAAAACCTTTATATTCAGAAGAATTTATACAAATTATTTTGGCTCCTAATGCAGTAAGACAGAGCATTATTTTGATAAAGTAACAGGCATCACTGCAGTGCCAATACAGAAATTCTGTACTTTGGAATAGCTACAAATGTGAAGCAGAAAAATGCAGCTGTTGTTATGTGTTACAATGCAAATCTGATGAGCTACACTGGGAATATTCAGTATTGCGGTGCAAACTGATGAGAGGAGAAGCACACAGTCTGAACAAAATAAAAAAGTTTATTTAAATCTCACAATTAGGACATTTTCTTTAGTATTGTCCAAAAGATTAAAACCAGCTTCTTTTCCCAAGACCTCCTTATAATTTTTCAAGTTTGTTACTAGAATAGCCACTCCGTTTCCAAGAGGAGCAGGCCTTCAGAAGTGCTCTCTAAATTTGAAAAATTCTTCCCTGTTATTGTAACAACCTGCAGTGACCTGTGCACACACCTGCTCCCCTCTGCAGGTACCCTCATTCCTCCCACCCTGACACATCCCCCTCGGGGATTACAGATTTAGGAACCTCCACTTTGGGGCCTTTTACAGCTTGGGATTTCCCCTCACCATCCAGCACTGGTGGAGGAGAGCTCTTTCAACAATTTTCCAGTCTGTTCCATGTAGGAAATCAGTTAGCAGACTTTCATGGAATTTAAGGGAAGGGAGGAGGAACTAATGTTAATTAAGGGCTTCTGCAGAAACGCTTTCAACAGCTGAGTCACAGAGAGCACAAGTGAAATCTAATTGCACGGTCCCCAGTGGCACTGCAGGGACACTGAGGGTGCTGGGTTAGGCACAATCAGGGCCAGATCCAACCTTTCCAACAGGAATCATATTCAACTAATGCAAGTTCCATTTTTACCAGTAAAGCTTTTTAAATGCTGATTATGAAGCTGCTTTCCCCATACAACCCAATTTTATCCGTCGTTTGTGTACACATTATTATGTGGAGAGGTAACTCCTTCACTACAAAAACTTGCATGCAAAAGTGAAAGGCTTCAAATCTGACATTGACTGTTTACCATGGATACTCAGAATTATCCTGTAGCTTTAGGGACAATATTTCCCTCCCTGGTACCCAAAGGAACCCAGCAGGCATTTTATCAGCAAACAAAACAAAAAAAGATTTGGTTAGGCCTTAAAAAGGCCTTAAAAAGAAATAAATAAATAAAAGCCAAACAAGCAAAAAAAAACCCAAAATTGCAAATGCATTTGAACACTGCACTTGGAAAACATGAGTTATAAACTGCAAGGATGCACAAGGAACACATTGCACCAAACATGTCTGAGAGTTTTATTTGATAAATTACTGGTGGAGTTGAGAAAGACAAGAAGAATGAATGTAATTTATTAAGACTTTCTTTAAAGTGTCCATCTCCCCCTAGAGCTTATGGAAATAACAAAGCAACAAAACTATGTAGCCCTGTAAGAATAACTTAAATCTAAGTGATAAAATATCCATAGGAAGACAAAAAAGACACTTGAGATATTATTTTAATAAGGAGAAAACATGGATGATACTGGATCAACTGGATCAACTTAGATTGATGCACAAAATAAAACATTGCCTACACAGCACCAAAATATCTGAAAGTAATCAATTTGCATTTCATAATCATTCTCCTGCTAGGATCTGAGCTACAGAAGTCAACAACACTTTTCTTGGAGACTTAATATATCAACATTTGGCCCTCTGTAGTAAGCATGGCCAATTTGTCTGAAGCTGTTTATTTACACACTAAAGACATTCTATACACAAATCAGCTGACAAAGTTGGAAAGTGACAATATTTTTAACCTTTGCAGAAATAGGCAAAATTATAATATAAATAAATGTAATTGACATAATTGAATCTGCAGATTCTGGAGAAGAAAGAATGATTGACATGTATAAAACTGAGTAATTCAATTTTCTGCAAATTCACAAAAGGCTTCATGTGACAGATGACAAAACGAATGAGAGGATTATACATTGTAACTATAAAAAGGCAAATCCTATAAAGCATATACACAGTTGTAATATGCAAGACAAGTGGATAATCCCATGTTCAGTGTTAAGTTACATGAGTTGACCCATTGTTTCCACTAGTATCTCTATATCCTCCAATTTTCCCAACATGTAAAAGTATTAACTTGGTCACTAGCAAAGTCAATGGAAACTGCAAACACACAGTTCAAAGGCTGTCAAACTAAAATATATTACTATAACTACAGGCTTTGTGTAACATATTCTTCTCATTGCACTCTAAGATTGAGACAAAAGCCATAACAAAGAAAACAAAATTATGAGCTGAATAAAAGCATCTGAAAAATGGGTTAAATGTTTAATAAATAAGTGAATGAAAACAGTATGCTCCACAGCTTTCACATATTGCTGCCTTATTTCTTCTAAGTTTTCTCAAAACTACAATACCAATTAAATTAGCATTATTATAATAGCACATTTTGAAGAGATTGAATTAGAACTTGCATTAGAAGTGTTATACTTGAAAAAGTAACAATTCCCATTGAATGAAACTAGCAGCACCTCTGATGAAATGTCTCACAAGGAAAAAAAAAAAGAAAATCAAGCTGAAAGAAATAAACTAAAGGTTTCATAGTAAGTGCTGATATTGACAAGTAAACTAAACTCAGCTTTTCCCAGCTCTCAGCCAAACACAGGGTAAAAGCAGTGTGGTCTACAGGCTATAACTGCCAAAACAAGGCTCCCTCCACAGCTTTTCCTTGGAACCAGCTTAGCCCAAGGCTGCTTTTACTCCTCTGCCCAGCGCTAGGGTTATGCCTAGGGTTAGGGTTAGAGTTACACCTAGGGTAAGGGTTCTGAAAACCACAAAGGCCAGAGATCCAGGCACATGGCAGCTCCAAAAGGCATGCCAAGGGGAACATAGAACTGCCATAATATGGGTCCCTTCCCACCTTTCTCCTCGGCAGCAGCCTCAACCCCACGGAAATTTTGCTCACTCACCTAGGGTTAGGGTTATGCCTAGGGTTAGGGTTCTGAAAAAGCCCAGAGCTCCAGGCACACTGCAGCTGCAAAAGGCATCCTAACACAGAACTGCCAAAACATGGATTCCTCCACAGCTTTTTCCTTGGGACCAGCCTTAGCCCTAGGCTGCTTTCACTGCCTAGGGTTAGGGTTAGGGTCACACCTAGGGTTAGGGTTCCGAAAACCACAAAGCCCAGGGCTCCAGGCACACGGCAGCTGCAAAAGGCATGCCAAGGGGAACACAGAACTGCCACAACACGGCTCCCTCCACAGCTTTCTCATTTTAACCAGCCTTAGCCCAGTGCTGCTTGCACTGGTAACAGGGGGGTGTAGGCTGCTTTTTCCAACTTCAACCAAACTCCAGCGTGATCCAAGCGTGAGCTGTCTGCCTGGTTTCTGTGCACAGCTCAGTGGTTTTGTTGGTGCTGTCTCCTTGTCCCTCAGAGGGCTGTGCAGGAAGGGTTTCCATGGGCATGGGTGAACTGCCAGCTCCACTTAAGCTTGAATTTTTCAGCACACAGAATGTAACTTTTAAAGATAGGAAAAGTACTCTCCTGTCGTTCAAAGACTTGAAATTATTCAAAATGTCTAAAAGTGCATTTGAAAGGAAATGTGAATGTAGGTTATGAAATATGGGGACCTGCTATTTATTTGAGATGAGACATCCTGTCCTGAGAAAAAAGACAAAATATTTTATGCCGTTTTTCCATTAGACATTTCAGTGATTCAATTTAAAATCAACATTTTAGCACATATTCTGTAATGTCTTATCTGAATCACTAACATCCAACATTCAAAAATTAAATACTTTAAAAACTGCTTACGGGTGGACATATTGTGCAATTGCTCTTTGAACTGAATTTTGTATTTTCCTCTTTTTAAGATTATGATATCAGGTAAGGTTTTTAATTACACTACACACCCTATTAAAAAAAAATTAAACTGAAAATAATTTTTTGTCTCAAAATTTTTTGCTGAAAATCCCTGAGCTCACATTTTAGGTTCCATCCTGCAGCCAAGAACAAGAGGACTATTCTAGGGAGGGGGTAGAGAGTGGGGCTTTTTCTTGTCCTTAATCTTGATTTTATTAATTTCTGAAATGGTTTACTAGGAATCTGCAATATGAATCTATTCCTTGGACACATGGTATCCTCAGAAAAACATAGCTACCTCTACCTAGTGTAAGGTATAGTCGTGCAGCCTGCCCATGTTCAGCTAAAATCATTTAGGAACTGGTATAAAAGCACTTGATCGAGCACTTCAACAAAGCACGTAAGGTTTCAGAAATGGTTTTAAGCGTTACTGCCTTACACAGAAATTCAAACTTCAGCGACTGCTCAGCCTCAGTGATCCAAGCATGTGCTGGCAATGACTGTGCTGCGTTCTGCTGAGCACGGGAATTCATGGATCTGCTATAACACACTCTATTTCTGCCGCTCACCGAGGGGCCGCAGCACCGCCACGAGGGGCAAATAAACCAATTTTAATTAGCGCGAAACCTCCCCACGAGGGTATTTCAGCAGGCGGAGGGGAGGGACAGCAGGACGGTGGGGCCGTGAGGGGGCGGCGGGCCGAGGGCGCGGCAGCGCCTCAGGGAGCGGGGCAGCGCTGCCCTCGGGCTCCCCGCAGCCCGCTCCTGCCGCTGGAACGGGAGGATCCGCAGCGGGGACAGGGAGAAGGGGTGAAATTAACACAAAATGGAGACTTACAGTCCCGCTGTGACACGCGTGCGCGGCCCCGCCTGTGGCGGCGCACGGCCGGGAGGCGGGATCAGCGCTCTGTGAGGGACGGTGGCTGGGCGGCTGCTGCGGATTTTGTGCTTATCGCCGATTTTCCTCCCTATCGCCGATTTTCCTCCCTATCGCCGATTTTCCCGCTTGTGGCGGGCCCAGGAGGATCGTGAGGCGAGCGGAGGCTTGGCCGCGGTGGCGCCCCGCAGGTGCCAGCCCTCCCGGGGGTGAGGGACACCTGGGGAGTGCGGGAGCGCCGTGCTCAGGGCCAGCCGTGCCCGAGGGGAGCCCGCGGGGAAAAGCTTCACTAATTGTGTGGACACTTCCCTTGGCAGTGCGAGTGGCTCACACCGTTACAAGTGGAGAAAGTGATGTTACAGTGTGTGCTGTGCTCGTGCTGCTGCCCCGCGTATCTGGTTTAGACCTTGCTGGAGACAAGAGTGGGGATGATACCTTCCATTTTGCTCTCATCTTGCCTTAATTTTTAGTTCTGTGTAGCAATAGTGAGACTATCAGTCTGTGCTTCCGTGCAGGCAGTGATGTCCCTGCTGAATTCCCTGGCACAGACACGGATGTTGGAGCTCCCTCAGTTCATTATTGGAGTCTCACAGGGCTCTCTGTAGCAGCAGCTCCTTCCAGAGCAGCACATCCAGCACCATCATCAGCTTCTGCCATTAAATATTTCTCCTTCCACCCTTTTCCTAAAGGAAAAAAAGCATGCTTTCATTCCTTGCTTTCATGCCTTGCTTTCGTTCAGTTGGACTGAGATTTTTTTGGTGAAGACAGGGTCTTACAGCAGAAAGCCAAGTTTTCAATGGGTCTTTGCTTTGTTGAGAGTTTTGTTTGATATCCAAAAAAAGCTCTCACACAGCTACTTTTGTGTATGTCCAATGTAGGGGAATGAAGTTGCTGAACATTACTGTTAGTCCAGCACTCTGAGCCATCAGAGATGCTGAGCTCAGGCCCAAACCTTGAACTTTATTTTACATACTAAAGAACATGTTGGATGTATTTGCTGGGACCACTACTACTAACAATTAGTTCAAGACATTCCTATTGCTGTATTAATGAACACTTCCACAAATAATGACCAATACTCCAGTTGTCATAGTTTATCCTGTAAACTCACACTGAAGACATTGTCACCAACCCATGAATGTGGTACCAAGTGTCATTACTACTGAATGCCAATAGAACACCAAGACTGCCTTTTGATGCCACTGCTGTGCATTATGTCTCAGTGTCTGTATTTCCCATACAGCAAAGTCCCTTGTCTAATCCCAAGAACCACTCTGTGCTGAAGTGACAGCATCAATTCCCCTGCTGTTACACATTTTGTCAGCCCTTTGTGACACTGCACGGCAACAGGTCCCTTGAGACATTTGTCTGCAAAGGTACCCCAGATATGTCCCTTTTACAGTGTGTACTCCTGTCTTCTAGGATTAAGCAATTGAGAATCGAGTAGTGGCTGCTCCTCCTATATGCACTTGATCCTGAGAAACATCCTGGCCACTCATTTTGTTCACAAAAGCAAACACAGTGGGAGCAATTCCCTTTCCTAGTACAGGTGAAGTGTTTTGCCATCACAGGATCGCTTTCTTTCTTAATGACCACACTTTTCCCTTTCTGGCATGTTTTACTGTCATTAATTGTTAAGGGACCATATCATTAGTAAAAGCAAAGACCATCAGACTTTTATATGGACAATTTCACTGCCATTTGCAGATGAAAATCCATCCAAATCAAGGGATGTTGTGTGGAATGATGTGCCCATCACACCCTCATGAAAATACACTCCTTTTATGTGAGTTGTCTCTTGTTGACTCATCTTTTTAAAAAATATTCAAAACATTTCGTCTTTTAAGGTCGACAAGAAAAGATAAAAACTTAAGACAGTTTTGTTGTGCCAAGCACATGCTCATGATACTGTGAAAACACTGTACTAAAATATATGCTGAGAAAGCAGACACTTCAGTAAAGCAGCACATCAGAAAATCTGCTTAAATATGTCACAAAGTTTTAAAACCAAGAAAAAAACACCACCAACAAACAATCCTGAATTTTATTCAACATTGATGAAAACAAACTGCAAATTCTAATCTCCTTGAATGGCTCTAGCCCTAATTCTCCACTTCTACCTCTGTCTGTAACCAGAGATTATGTATTAAGTACTTGCAACCGCTAAAATATGTGGGAGACACAAAAAGAGGTGGGCTACTGCTACATCAGAAGCCTTGGCTTACCAAGAAAACAGCTTTAATATTCTATTATTACCAGGGAAATCTAATACATAAGCAGAAGTGAAGTGTGTTTGTAGATAATCTGCTTCTAACATTCAGCTGAGCATGAAATCTCTTGAAGAAAAGCCTGATAGAGATCCCAGGAAAACATTCCTTTAGCTCACTGCTTCTTCTTTGTTCAATGGGGCAGTTCACTTTGTTCCTTTAAACTGAGCTACGTTATACTAACACAGAAAGTATTTTTCCTCCCTCTAATCCTAAGAGGAGCATGAGCCCTTAATATCTTGACTTTGCCAATTTTAAAGTTTCAGTAAGTCAGGTCCTCAGAAAAGGTGTTTTACCTGCAAAATGATACATGAGAATCTCTCTTCCTCTGTGATACATGGTAATTGTATTTATTTTTCAGTGAATTCTGTGGTTTCCAATATGAAACTGTCTTAAATTTTATTAAAGTAAAAGTGTTAGATCTGTGATGTTACATAGCATGTATTTTCAAACAAACTTTCTGTTGTCTTTTGCCTCAGTATTTGATGTTTATCCAAGAAGTAGGAACATAGTAGTTCTGAAGAAGTAAAAATGATATAAGTAAATTAAAATCCTGTAGTTTTGTCATATAACAAGATGATTCTTCTCATGGTCTCTTTCTTCTGGGTTGTGCAATTTAAGGTGTGTGTTTACTTCTTTTGTGTGAAATTATATAATTCACAGTCCAAAAGCTTCTGTGACATGTCCGTGCATAGCCATCAGAAAATCAGCAAACTATCATAGGATTTTTAAAGAAGTTTTCACTCCTATCTTTAGTATTCAATTCTAAAGCTGTCTTTTGTTGGTTTTATTTAGGTGGGATACAGAGATTGTAATGTGTTGGAGTAGCACTGTCCTAAGGAGGCTGGGCCTTGGGTATTCATGCACAGTTTCACTTTCATGGTGACTTCTTTATTACTGACGCAGGCTTGCTCTCACTAAGTATTTTCTTCAAGCCACAATGTATTTTCCACTGGTCAACACATCAGCTACTTAAGACCAACTGGCTGTTCCTTCTAACTTGCTTTTAGTCATTTTTCCTCAAAACCAGGAATGATATTCATGTATCTGGCAGAGTAACAATGATAGTATATCTAACCAGAACAGCTCCGCCTGAGAAGCCAGTCATTGATTCCTCTCTGGTAGCTTGTCACCACCAGATGTCTGCTGAGTTTACACCCTGTGCATTTCCCATAACTGCACACACAAGGCATCCACGAGTGACTAAATTTTCAATAATAACACCACATTCTTTTCTGAACTCTCCTCTTCCCTACCTCAGCAGCTGCAGCTCACCACAGAACCACAGCCTCTCTTTGTGTTAGGTGTTGTACTTCTCTCTGGAGTGAAGGACTCTACAAACAGCACAAGAGTGTAAGATTGCTTTTACTTTCAGAATAAGTTTCAACACTCAGGGTTTGGGGAAGTGAGTTTTGCACAGAAAGTAATGAGAAATAGTCTACATTCAAAACAGAAAAACATTTCCGGGTTTCTATCAACAAGTACGGAATGTTCTGTTTTCCCATAAGAAGCAGTGGCAGTGAAGCCTACCCCTGCCAATAATGAAGCACATCTAAAGGAGGACTCAAAGCTCTGTCTAGGCGTGAGGAGTGGTGTCGTCCTGTAGCGACAAAATCGGCACTCACTGAACCTGCTCACCAGCTGTGGGTGCAATTAGCTGTGTCCAATTTACATTTGGAGCACAAGGGACCAGCTTTCACAGCACGCTTAAAACAGCAAACACAACAAGCTGGGGTTTGTCAACACAATGCACAGTTTCTCAGTTCAATGGGAAACTTTACAAAATGTATGTGCAAGGTATAATTACAGCATGTCACAAATAAAATTTCAAAAGCATAATTGAAACAACACTCATATCTTGGAAAAATAAGCTAGTTAATTGTTGTAGGTTCACAGATGTGTCGCAGCACACAATACAATTAATAAAATATAAACACCAATTTTCAAATCAACACAGCTTGATAATTTGAATTCAAATTTTAAGAACAGGAAGAAAAAAACTAAAAAACACCACAAGTCTTTCTTTCTTCTGTTTCTTTTTTCATGCTCTTTGTGGCCATTGAGACTAGTAGGAAACCAGCCAATTTAGTCAGAAAACTTTGCAGCTTAGCAGGGAGTTTCATTTGTCATCACATGCAATAGCAGCTGTCTCCATCAAGAACAAAGTTAATCAGTGCAGACTAAATAAATTAGGTAATTCCTTAGATTGTTAACATTGTACTTTTGAATGAAGACCAATCTTTGTCTTCTGATGCTGGAAAACTTCTCTTTCAAGTAAATCAATGTTGTGGTTTGAAACTAAGGAGCAGTGAAATTCCCTAATCTATTTTTTACCCAAATATTTTTGGAAACTGAAGATATTCAGTTTACACAAGGGACTCAAAGTGTTAAAATTTTAAAGGCAGAAAAATCAAGCAGGTTTATACACAAAGACTTCAGTATTTACTTTACGCATATGATCACTTTTTCTAAAAACAGTAAATCTTTTCACTTTGTTTCAGCAATGCTTGAAAAGAAAGGTGGTATATGGTGCCCATTTAACTAAAAGAGCAACAAAAACCTTTAGAGGATTTTAATATTAAAAAAAACCCTAGATCTTTATCACAAAAAAAAAATAAAAATAAAAAGAACAAAAACCAGAAAAACAACAAGCTTTCATGTACAACAGAAAACTTATTTAACCTTAAAAATCTGCTAGGCAATCTTGTGAAGAACCAGACATAAAACACATATTACAATAATTAAATATAAAAGAAAAGGTTGAGCATCACATATATTACCTACAGAAGCTGTTAAACAAGAGATGGGAACATTAATGCAAAGAATATTCATAT